GATGCTTCAGAGGTAGCTGAAAAGCACTAAACTGCCTGCGGAGAAAATAATAGGGGCACACAGAAGAACAAACTAAAGCCCCTACCAACCCCCATCCCAGAACTGCTACCAATTACCTCACTAAAGAGGCTGCACATGTGAAAATTGCAGGATGGTAGCATGAACACATGATGCTGTTTTTTTTTTTTAGACAAATCCATCCATTTCTGTATCTAAAACTGAAACAAATTCAGATGTGAGTGATCAGCTGTCACGCCCCAGTTATCTTTTAGCAGTTGACCACAAGACACCTATTTCTCACTTATCACTCTTATTAAGCTCTTTACTCCAACTGAGTAACTGCCTCTGTTTATCACAATGAAGTGATTTTTACTTTCATTTTAATGTAACTAAATACTGTCTGCCTCCTCCTGTGCTGAAAGCATCAATACTGGGGGGGGGGGGCTCTTCTTAGCGCTCTCTGACAGAGCCCCGGTGGAGGAAATGAGTCCGGTGAAGACCCCATTGACCGTGAGGCATTCTGCCCATATTTCACTAAGCTCCTCTCCCAAAGGGGGAGGCAGCAGACACGAACCATATCAGAACACATGGTGAGGTGCGGGGGTCAGCAAAGGAAAAAAAAAGTGAGAAGCAGAGAGAAGAAACAAACACGCGCACTTATAAAACATACAAACTCTAACACGTGATGGTTGACTTTAGAAAAAGGGTAACACTGACAATCTCTGTGTCATTAATTGGTTTCGCTCATGCACAGTGTCTCTCAGGAATTTGCATCTGGTCCTGAACTTTACTTTTACATGTTAGTCGAGGTGTAGAAGTCGTTGTAGCAGACAATTGTTATATTTACATTGTTTTTCATGGGCGACTGTGGGTGAGTGGGGAGCACGGTCGTCCTCCAATTAGAGGGTTGTGGGTTCGATCCCAGTCCTGGCTAACCCGCGTGTCGTTGTGTCCTTGAGCAAGACACTTAACCCAACATTGCTCCTGCAGGTGTCACTGTGTATGGTTCTCCTGTCATCAGTGTGTGAATGGGTGAATGATGTCATGCAGTGTTAAAGCGCTTTGAGTGGTCGGAAGACTAGAAAAGCGCTGTACAAGTACAGGCCATTTACCATTTACCATGCTTTGATACAGGACCAACACAAGAGATAATATAATTAGGTAGAAGGAAGCAAAAAGATGAGAGCCGAAATTACATCACCGCCAACAATTTTGTGGTTATTTTCTAATGCTTTTATTATCATGGTGATTTGCATTCCTTCAAACAACCTGTGCCAAATTGGCCATGTGCACTGTTAAATGATATGTTGTGTTGAGATTTACAAGATGCAGACAAGGTTATTAGCAAAGACAAACTACTGTATCGCTGTTTGGTTTGACAGCACAAACTGTGTCTTAATTGTAAACAAATGTTGAAATGGTTGGAAAATGTCATTATTAATAGAGAGAAACTTTTTCCAAAGCACAAGGGATAAAAAAAGATAAGAGAACGGTTTAATTAATTGGAGCTCAAAGACACACCCACTTTATCCATCGTCTTTTTTTGGCTCCTGGTTTCACTAATGGAGAGACTTGAGTTCTCATGTTTTCTTTTGGCAACACAGTGAGATGGCATCGCAGAAAATGGGTTGCACATACAGTGATGAGAAATAAGCTTCAACTGAGGCCTAAATTATCACAGACGGTCTAATGCATCTTTGCGTTTGTATATCATTTGCCAACGATGTAACACAGTGAGAGCTAAAGCACAGGTACTTAAGATACAGCACAAGCAACTTCCGCATGAGATATAATTCCTGACCTCAAGCAGTACCATCTCTATTTCTTCGGCGACAAAACCACCCACTGCCATCCCTCACCTAGCCCTTCCAGACTGAGCTGGAGCTCATGGGGCCTCAGACACACTTAATGGGATTATGGTAATATCATTTTGGGACGCTGACCTCGGGCCGGTGCCAGGTTTCTTCCACATCCTCAGACAAAGGCAGGGAGCTCACCAAGGGTTCCAGCAGGTTGGCCCAGCTCGGCCTCTTGGCACAGGACGATGTCCTCATGGGCTCAGCGCAAGATGGATGGCTGCGGGGCAAAGTCTCACTCCCAAAGTCTGCTCAAACCGACAGCAAAATCAAACAGTGGCAAGAAGGTGTTGTTTACTTAGATAAATGCCACTGCCATGCAGCTGGTTGTCTCCTGTGACTGTTGTTTAAGGAACTCTTATGATTTAATGTATACAATATTCAGGATGTTGGAAAAGTTAGTTCCCAACTTAAGTGATCTCGAGTGATTTAACAGGGGTTTCCTCTATTGGATGTTTCTTATTAGTTTAGGAAAGGATTTTATGGACCGAACCATTTGAAAGCAGCTCTCTGTGGGAGTCATTTCAAACTGTCCCTGCGGGTAATGGTTACCACCGGCACATATCCACAAAGAACACACACTCAACTGGCCATACAACATTATGCTGGAAATCCTAAAATATACACAATGTTATGTTATTTTTTGCTTTGGCTGGATGTAGAAATGCTTTTCTTTGCTTACTGTTACAGGCCAGTTATACACACAATGCAGTCCATCAGCGGAGATGGACTGAGCTTGCAATATGCCAGCGATGTTTGACTCGTCATCTCATTTGACTTTGTCCTGTATTTTTTTGTTGTCCAGTCTCCACGGATGTATGGCCACATTTTTTTCTCCTTTTCCTTTTCTTTTCCTCTTCCCCTTTGCCGCCAGAAAGACCACCCATAGGGTTCGGAGGGGGCAGACGTCTCTGCGGAATAATAATGGGGTCGTCCTGGGAAATTTGCCCGTGGAAAGGCCTGTCTGAAAACGAAAGAAAGACAAAATTTGGTCTTGTTTCCGATCCTTCTTGGAGGCATTCATCTGGGCACTCGGAGGGGAGGAGTCCAAACTTTCCCCCCCCCCCCCCCCCTCACCCCACGTCCCCCAGATCCGCTAACTGGCTGCGTCCCTCCGCCACCGCTAAGCCAAAGGGCAGGAGGCTGGAGTTAATGAAAAGATGCTTCTCATTTGCCTTGCCTTTAATACAGCACGTATGAATCATATTAAATGGTGACTGCTACCGGGCGAGGCTGTCGGTGGCAGAAAAAGCAGAAAACAAATGAGTCAGCATGTCAACCGGGGAAAGCCTCAATCCTGATGTAACTCGATGTAATGATTTGGTGACACACTATTCTGATTAAACAAGAAAGTGGCTATCCTCATTCAGCTGCTTTATCTTGCACTCCAAAACATCGCTTGGAAAAGAACAACGTAGACATTGTGATTGTGTTTTTTTGTTTTTCATATATTTTCATTTTAAAACCTTTAAATTACTTTAAAAAATCTTTCACATTTTCCCATGCACATAATTGGTTGAATTCGCTGCATTATTACAGTGAAATCAGTTTTTCTGACAGTGAGCTTTTTATTCGGTCCTGTTTTATATTTCTAAAAAAAAAGCAGAGACCCTGCATCTTAATGTCTCAGCCATGTCAGTCATTAACACATTTCAAAGTGAGATTCCCTCCCTTGTGATCCCCTCCTAAACCCGCTCACCCTCGAGCCGTCGCTAACTGGCCTCCCTCTGCCTTGTTAGGTCCCGAGGCCCCGCCGCCTCCCTCCGGGTCCGAGCCACTGGAGATCCAGTGATGGATGTGCCTCAGGGGAGCTCTCGGTGGGAGGTGGGTTCAGGACTTCACACACTCCCCTCAAATTTATATTTAACCAGAGGACAGCAGAGTCCATCCTGCAATGGGATCTCTGTCTTACAAACACGATACTCTTTTTATCAGAGGCCTAATTCCTAAACACGATGCCGCGATATCAGGGATAACAAAAACAACGTCATTCATTTCATTGTCTGGCAGGGAATTAAAAAAGAATATACATATATATATATATATATGTATATATAGAAACCAACTTCAAATCCCAAAATCCCAATTTCTTCATAAGTCAGTGAATTTCCTTCGGTATTGTGTGTTAAAATAACGTAATTTCCCTTTCGACCAAACCCACTTACTAAAAGTTATTGTTTTCCACTTTTCACTAACCCCATCTCATGTAAAGGGGAGTACATGGAAGGGTCTGAGGATAGTTCTGTATATTCATTTTACTAAATGATACTGTGGAAATATATACAGCATTCATGTTTGCATTTTGAAACCCCAAAATACCCTAAATGTTTTTGTTTTACTTACCCTCCTAATAAACTGTAAATTTGTACCCATTCAGTTTCTACGCAATTTAGTAGTAGTACTTTATTCCTCTTTAAACATTGGTGCAGCACAGTAAAACAATTAAATACTGCTTCCTTTTTTCAGTAGGATTCAATACATTTTTAAGAGGAAGCCACACAGACTGATGTTACAATGAGGTATGAAGTATGTTGCGTTGGGTTCATTAACATCATTTGCCTTTTGAACTACATTCTACTTTCTCCAAAAGTAGAGCGTAGTTGGTAAAACTCGACAATAATCTCTGCATGATCTTCTGTACAAAAATTGTTGGGTGTATATTAAAAGAAAAGCCAAACGCGTCCAGTCATCACAATCAAATGAGGCGCAGTGGTGGGTGGCAGAGAAAGGTTCAGTGGAGTTGATGTGAGGAAAGAGACGTCATCTGTAAATGTGCCTCAAGTTTCAACACAAAGCTATGGTACCTGATTGTGTTTACACTGCCGCTGATTTATTAAGGTCAGCTCTATTCCTATATTACTCGGCAAGTAATGAATAAAACAATATTCAATGTCCAGTTTGTTTCTTTAAACATGGGGTATACAGGCAAAGGAGTGAGAGGGGGGGGGGGGTGTGGACATACCTCTTTTCAATATTCTGTAGTAATAATTGATCTGTGACTTCATGGTCCGAGAAGCCAGAAGCAAAACTACTGTTCCCAGTGCAACAATGTGCATGTACTGGTTTTCTGTTTCACTTTGCACTGGTTTAAGGAAAACTTAATACTGTGTTATAATTAAGAATTAATGGCACCAGACAATTGCATATTTCTCAGTGTTTTGTTTTTATTGCAAACAATATAATACAAAAGATAAGCTTTTAAGACAATGCCATTTACCTACGGAAACTGCATTAGGAGATGACAAGATGAGAACTAATGATACAGAATACAAAATGAGGAAAACAACTTTTTTTTTCAAAAACAAAAAGTATTCTGTTGATTCCAGCAAATTCTTTACAAAAACAGCTGCAGCTTCCATATCCATTAATTAATTTGTTAGGAAAAAAAAGAAAACTTCCAGTTTTTTCTGTTTTTAGAGACTCAATGTGTAATTATAAGTATTCTGTACATAACTAGAAACTTTAACGTGGAACACATTTACAAATGATAAATAAACAAATTTGTACCACATACGACAGCAAACTATTTCACTGAAAAAAAAACGTAATCTCAGTTAGCTGCTGCTGAATTAAAAAGATAATTGCAAATAGTTATTCTCAAATAAAATTAATGCTAAAGAATAAATTAAGAAAAAAAGGTTAGAAAAAAGGACGGGGCTGTAGGAGTGAAAGAAGCACGCCAGACTCAGACCTGCTGGCTGCTGAGGAGAGTCAGGTCAAAGGTGACTTCCTGCATCTCCTCCAGCAGGAAGTCAGAACTACGCCGTGGTTTCAACACTGCGATGCCAGTGGAAGAAGCCTCCGGAGGCACCAATGGTATCAAGTACCCAGATAAAAGCAAGCATTGCTCAGTTACATCTAGCAACACATTAAGGCCCCTAGTAGAATTAAATGGCACCTGCTATAACGTTTCCAACACAATCATTTGAGCTAAAGCAAAGAACAAGATAGTAGTAGAATGTTTTGACTAATTCACTGATGACACGGTCATATTATGGCCAAAAATTCAAATCCATTTCGAACCTGCGTTGCTCAATTCTTGTATCTCATGGGAATTACATAACATATGTACAGTTCGGAAAATCCAAAGCAGAATGTAGGCATTATAAGTAGGCAGTGTCAGTAAACTGATGGCTCTTATTTGTGTATAAGAAATAGAGAAATAAGGCCACTGAGGGTATTTTTACCCGGCATTCCCGCAACTTTAGATGAATTAAACCCTCAAATGGAAATGATGACACTGGATATGATGATGATGATGGCGATGATGACAAGAGCAAAACACATACACAGTACATACTAAAATATTTATAACCAGTATGTCCTCACAGAGGATTTAACTTTTTTTTTTAAAAACATTATATCTAAAAAAATATAATCACAATTCCAACCGATACAAAAGGCACTGTTGTGAGCCAATCCAAAGATATATTTTCAGTACTATAAAAAAAGTCCATGTCATGTTTTTTTGATGGTGCCGGTGTCAGGTGTGTGTCATGGTGGCACACAAAGGCCACGGTGCGGAGAAGAAGAAAAAAAAAAGGTCTATGGAATGCGAAGGGTGTTGTGTGCAGTCAACGCTGAGGGCCACCTCTCTCAAGGCCTGGAGAGCTGTGTGTAGATGGGCTGCTGCTCCCAGTGCTGCGGACTCTGGGTCTGCGGCACGGAGGGCACCCCGGTGGTGTCGGCGATCGGGGTGTACATCGGCCTCTGGCTGGGGCTCATGTAGCCGAAGGTGGAATACAGGCCGGAGCCCTGGCTCTGGCTGTAGTAGGAGTTGGCGCCGCCTTGGTGATCTGAATAGTCATACTGTGCTCTCGTGATCGAGGGGTAGGAGGAGGCGCTGTAGTGCTGCAGGTTGAAGGACCCATAGGTGACGTGCTGCGGGGAGCCCTGCTGCTCGCTGTAGTGGCTGGGGCTCAGCTGCTCCGTCTTGATCTGGGTGGTTCTCTGTTGACCCTGCTGGCCTTGCTCTCCTCCTCCGCCCAGGGTGGTCAAAGAGTGCTGCTGCTGCTGCTGCTGCTGCTTGGACATCCAGGCGTGGGCCCCGACATTGGCCGCGTGGCCGACTGAGGAGCCGCCGATGCCATAGCCGCTGGCGTAGCCGCCCTGAGCTGCTCCCGTCACTCCAATGTGGCTGTGAGGTGGCAGGTACTGATCGAACTCATCGACGTCGAAGCTGCCCATGTTGGAGATGACCTCGCTGCTCAGCTCGCCGATGTCCACAGCTCCAAAGTCGATGTTGAGCTGGCGGCTGGTGCCCTCCTGCATGGGGCGACCCTCTCGCTTCAGGTCAGCCTTGCTGGAGGGCAGGTCTGTCTTGGGGGTGGTTGGGGGTGTTGGAGGGCCCTGGGACGGACCTGGTTGGAGGAAAGACAAGAGTTAGCCTTGAAATAAAATGTACCCGCGTGGTGAATCGAAATGCCAGTGTATTTGCAAATGGTTTCAGGAGGAGGTTTTGTTGACACTGTACCGACAGATACCAGCACGATGGCTTGTAAAACACTAATCATTAAGCACTAATCATTAACAGGTGCCTGTTCAAGGCCCTAACAGCTTCTGAATATTTGATTTATACCAGCACGTGCTTACTGTACCAGCAAAATGTGCTCTTTATTTCCCGCATTATATTCTCACCTGAATGCTCTCCTGGAGAATGCACCTCGCCCGAACTTGAAGCTGGAGAATCGACCTGCTGCAGAGCCTTGAAGATCGCATTTGGAGAGATGTGGGTTTGCTCGCCGTCCTCGGGGTCGTTTTGCCCGTTTTTCACGGACTTTCTCCGCCTGGGCTGATATTTGTAGTCGGGGTGGTCCTTCTTGTGCTGGACTCTCAAACGCTCAGCTTCTTCCACAAACGGGCGCTTCTCTGCTTCGTTGAGCAATCTGAAAATATCACGGATAATTGTACATTCACATTAAAACGCGTTCAATTGGCAGCAAGCACGACATACATTGATTATTTTAATGTTCGAGAAAAGCAGCCACAAAAAAAGTTTGCGCATTCTAAGCCCAGACCAGCTGGATAGTAAAACAAGCAGTTATATATAGATAAAACCGCAATAATTAGTAATGTAATTTTAAAAGCTGTAGTCAAATTACAAGGCAGATTGAAGCAGCTGTACACGAAGTGGCGCATCGCATCGGAGAAATAGTTGTTCCCGCACACGGCGGCGCGTAAATACGCACGAGTTATTGCGAATGCAAAGCAAACCTACCTCCAAAGTTTTCCCAGGGTTTTGCTGAGTTCGGCATTGTGCAAATGCGGGTATTGATCGGCCAGCTTCCTCCTTGCGGCTTGAGCCCAGACCATGAACGCATTCATGGGTCTCTTGACGTGAGGTTTGCTTTTACTCGAGCCGTTGACGCGCACCGGCATGGGCACCAGAGTCCAGTCGTAGCCCTTCAACACCTGGGACACCGCATCTCTGATGCACACGGGGAACTTTTCTTCTTCGCCCTCTTTCTTGTAGTCTGCACCCAGGAGGAGGTGGTTGTCGGACGGCCGGGTGTTCTCAGTGTCCGAACCGGACACGGAGCACGGTGAGCCTGCGGAGTCCTCGGACATGCTGGGACTGGGAGCGTCAGAGTGACACTTCTCCTGTTCTTCTGTCATCTTCAGGTAAGGGTCGAGGAGATTCATGCGAAAAAATTGAAAGAAAAACTTCTCGCAGTGAAAACAACAACAAAAAAGGAGAAAATCCTTATTTCTAAATCCGAGTGCTGTGCCCAAAGACTGCAGTGACAGCCTATCAGGGCGCACGGCTTGACGGGCAAACTTGAATCCTTTTTTTAAAAAAAACACACACACACACACAAAAAAAATGTCAAAAATAAAAGTTTTTGACGATCCGTCGACTTTCACAAGCGAAGAAGGGAAATCTGTTTCTCTTTCTAATGCTCAGCGTTGCAACTGTGACTTAAGGAGAAATGTGGCTGAGATGTCTGCTCCTGGAGCGTCGCTGAAGAGTCTAGAGACGCAGGAGGCGAAGCCCGGATTTATGTTTGACGGCCGCGAACTGATTGGGGGAAAACTTGTGGTAGGCGGAGACGTAATATGACTCTGCTCTGAGGGATTGATGCAGTCAACAACAGCGAAACCACAGTCACAGTAGAGAAGAGGTGTTTTCCCCTTATAAACCCTGGTTTCATTGACATTTTAGCTGTGATGAAAAGTTTAAACTTATCTCACACTCTCTGACAAAAAGTAAGGCTATACTTAGTAAAAAGTCACAACCTCGAAATGTTACAATAATGTTTGGGATTTTAATATTGCAGTGAAATCAAGATGAAAAAAAAGAAAAAAGACCCTCTGAATTTACTTTGATACTAGAGGCGAAAGCATTTTACTCACTTTATTGTTAGAGGCATCTATTGGTATATGTACTTGTACTTTATTCTTCTTTCTTTTATTTATTTCAAGCAGGAACTACAGGCTAATTTGCATATTGGGAAAAAACCTGTCCCCCGATTGACAAGTCACTTGCTTTGCCGACAAAAAGTCAAAGAATCTGACTCTGAATCTCAAAGTTGGGGTTTCAGGTAAAGTCGCCACGATCAATTGGAAACCTGTTTCTCCTTTCTACATTCGAGTAGTTCTCATTTGGAAACTGGGGACGTTTTTTGATGGTATTTTCTTCTACTCTTCTTTTGGAATAACGCGGGTAGCTTTGTGCACGGAGACAATCCCGTGAGCCGCATCCCCGTCGCCTCTCGGCTCGATGCAGTGACCAATCGGACCAACAGGGGGCGACAGCAGTCCAGCAACTGTGCAGCGCGCCAACCATTCAGACACTACCGGGTGATACAAACATATTGTTATTCCGGTAGATGGGTTATTAGTGACATGTGGCTTTAAAAACTATTCTTATTTCAAATAAACAACAAGTGACATGCGGTATCCCCCATTTTTGACGTTTACTGTTGAAGTTTAGAAAAGCTGAAGATTACTATTTTGATTGATGATTTAGATTACTGCTGATTCAGTGATTGGTGATTTGCAACTATTTCTATTCTATCTTGTGACAATGTGAATCTAGAGGACAAATATAAATAATAGCAGTATTAACAATGATGATTAAATTAATAATAATCATAAGAATGATACGTTTGTGAAAGTAAGTAAAGTAATATGTTAGGCTACTTAGTTGATTTAAGGTTTTCCTCGGTCGACGCAAACATTTAAAAATGTCTGTGAAGAACCGGATCAAAACAAACATGTCTCAACACTGAAATCTACTTTGCTGGATTTGTTCCAACACTTGTTTTTGCTGCACAAAGGACACTTTGTTGAGAGAGTTCAGTCCCTATAATCCATGCTTACCATTTTATAAACCAAATCCGACTGCTGCTTGTTATGTGTCGACATTCAGTCATGAAAACTGAAAGTTTTCTATTTTTATCACAAAGTTGGTTTAATAATCAAGGAGTCCAAAGTAAAGAACTTTTATTAATGAAGTATATCTGTAATCATTTAAGAATATAATATCAACCACATTGAATGGGGCTGATAAGAACATAAAATACTTATTATTTTTTAAATAACACATATCATTCTCTTGCAGAATACTTAGTAATAGCCTGTCGGCAGTCGGAGCCTTTCATTGCTGGGTTAACATTTTGAAAATCACCTTTCATATTCAAAGAGGGCAGTCGTTCAAGATTTGCTGTGAAAGCCTTTCAGCCCATCTTGACCCTGACATGTTCATTAAAACGTGCCCGTCTCCCGCATACAACTAAATGAAATACAACAAAACAAAGTGGTGTGAAACAAAGTGGATTTGAAAAAATGAAGGACTGTTTGAGTTGTTTTTTTTTCACGGGAGTTAATAGTTATAATTATGTTGATTTTGTAACACTCTAAAGTAACCCGACTCTCTGTACTTATCATGAGACCCTTGATCTATTTCCCGCAATGTACTTAAACCCTTTGAATTCTCTCTCAAGGTTTCAGCTCACTTCAGGCACCAATATCCTTCTGGCAGTCTCTTACTTTTGCTGTGTACAAACCAACACACCATATCTCATTAGAGCGTAAATATTTGTCATTTTCAGTTTTTTGGAGGCGAGCTGCTGCCATTTGAGACGGCGGGTTTCAACATGCAGAGGAGGAAACCCATGTGATGGCTAACACGGAGGCATCAGAGATGCGGTCGCTCGTGTTTGCGCCCCCACAGTGCTAACGGCAGAAGGCTTGAGGTGCCCCGTAGAATGGGGGAGGGTGGGGGACGCAGGTCCTCAGGCGGCCCGGGCTCGCAGCTTACATGGAATACCCGCCTGCAGGCCGAGCAGGTCTTGGGAAACTTCTCAGCTTGACTTCGAGCCGTGGCGTCAAAAGTTTGAGTCAAACACTGAGGGTAAACTGCCAAGTCATGTCTTCCACCTTCCCTGGCTCGCTCAGATTCCACTGTAAATGTTTGAGCAGGCCGCCCCCTTTTTTTTTTTCAAACGTGTTGGTGCGTCGCCTTCGAAGAATGCTTCTCAACAATTGAATCAAAAGAAGCGGTACATGCATGTGTTGCATTTCGCAATTCTTTGATTGAAGGGAAGGTTTGATTTATTTCCTTGTGCAGGAATGTATAAAGGCTATGCGGAGAACTTTAAAAAATGTTGCAATAGCATTGAAATCCTTTGTTTGAATGATCTCGCGCCCATAAGAGACGGAAAGACTTCCCCGATTGACAAATACTGCGGCAGGGTGACGCGGTGGAGGCAGAGGTGGCTTCGGCCGCTCACAACAGACGTAACACCTGTCTGAGATTTTCCGCAACTAGTGCCAACTGGCCGAGACATGTCAGAAGACTGCGACAGGAAGAACTGAGATTATCCCGCTGGAGAAAAGTCTGAACTTCTGCTTTCCGCTGTTGGTTCTTATCAAAATGCACTATTGTTTAATTGACCTGGCAGTTTCCACCCTCCATCATCGGGTCAGATAACACGTTCGATAGCTCAGCTACGCCACCAAAGAAGTCCGGCTGGGAAACAAATTCTGGCCTTCACCCCCTCCGGGGACCAGCATTGTGTGATCATTTCTGCTGCACACTTACTTGTATAGGTTCTGCTTTCCTCCGGCGTCCTCGTGCAGATAGTGCTACTGTAATCTCAGCCTTATCTGCTCCAGGACTTTAATAAACTGAAACACCTTGGGCACTCATTGATAACAGGGGAAGGAAATACACGCTGGTCTGTGAAAGCGTTTTAAAGTTCTTAATGAACATCATCAGCGTTACGTTATCATCATGATCATCAAAAAACCCAAACTAAACAACATCATTTCACAAGAGCACATGTTTCCTGTGAAGTATCTTGTTTCTTGTTAATTAAAACCTTGATAAGCTGCTTGCATGAAATCCCAATATTCACCCTACAACCTTTCTAACAGCAAAAGCTTTAAAAGCAACATCCAATATTGAGCTCTGTTGAGTGACAGCGCGGCAGCCTCTGTGCCTTCAGGTGAAGTGACCTCTGAGTCAGTTCAAATGACAAAGAAGTCGTATGAATGCATCGCGGTATCTCTCGCAGGTCACTTTCCACCGTTTCCAAAAATAGAGCTTGACTTGTAATTATGTCCGAGTAACAATGGCTAATTCTCGCAGTGCTGACGAAATGTTACCTAAAGGTCTTCTCAGAGGAATAGAACAATCTCACTGTTGTTAATTTCGTAAGCAGAACAACACCAACTTGCTGAATTGAATGCTCGGTTCGGTGTGACCAGTCGCATCTACTACTGTTAGTAAGACTTTCCCTTCTTTTTTTTTAGCTTCTCACACAAATTCCAACCACTTTTCTTTTCCAGGGCAGAAAAACCTTGTGTGAACCAAGTCTTGACCATAAGACTATCTTAAGACTTTCTTTTAGTCGCCATTACTAAGATCAATAATACCCATTTTTGCCCTAAAATGTGGTATCACGTCATTTCTTGTGATGACATTTTGGAAAATGAACTTCAATGTACTTCATTTCAACACATTATGATGCAGTAGCTGCAACTTGAGGCCACAGAGACCACAGAAACCGCTGCCCGGCAGAAGTGGAATATTCCAGCTCTAAGTTGTTATCCAATTGTTAACACAAACAATTGTTAACACAAACAACCTTCCTACCCACTCTAGTCACAAGAGTTCAATTGCAAATGTCTCAGACTTAAATCCTTTTCATTTTATTTTTGATTATGTTTCTTCGTACTTGACCATCAAGCATAATACGTAATTCTGTCATTCTTCCACCACCTTGCCAAGGGCACGTAAAAAAAAAAAAGATCAATTCACACATCTTCTTTCTGAGTAAGTCGTATGATGACAAATTATTCCAACATATGACCCCCAATCTCGTGGCAGTTTTGACTAGAAATGCGGAGAAGTTGTGAAACTCTCTTTCGTCATAGATTCTGTCGTGTTTGGGGCATTTATTGCTGAGTCAGGCTGGCTGACTCTGACTATAGCAGCTCCCTGGAACAGCGACACACGAAAAGTCCCATCCGCGGCCCTGCACGATGTCACCGTGGCACCTCCGCCTGCACACAGAGACACTTTTCACAAAGGACCCGTATGAGCTCGCGCCCGGGGTTACATAATGCAACGTTCAGCCCTCCTCCCCGCTCACCTCTTCCTACCATCAGCTGAAAATGTTGTCGCCAGATTAAAA